CGAACTGTCACTGCGTGAATTTCTTTTCCAAGACGCCGGGAACCCAAATGAGCCGGACGAAGATTTGTGAAGGTTACAGAGTTGGGAATTTCATCATGAGGTTGCATTTGTCTCACAAGTCCAATGGCCTCCAACTCAAGACTGTTTTGAGCAAAATTAGCAATATATCATAGCATTCCAAGAAACAATATTCCTTTTATCCATCTCTGGGAACACATTAGATGCTTCATTTGACGGCCTGATTTTGGATACAAACAACAACAACAACACTAAAGCCTTATCCCACTAAGTAGAGTCAGATTTATGAATACTAGAACACCACTGCATTGGTTTTGCGCCAAGTCTTCCGTTAAACCACCTTAACCAGTTTTCTCTCATCATCTTATCTGTTTCAATGAGTTGGCAATGGAGATATCTGCTTCAATACCCATTCTTACACTGAAACCATGGAGTTCTTTGCCAACTCCAAAGAATTCTAGTTCAACTAACAATGGTAGCATGCTAGAAATGGTGACAGAAATTGGTTTGACTCCTGCATCAATCATCAACCTAAATTGTATCCGAGGCTTGCAAATTAAGCCCCGTGTATGAAAGACTAGTCATAGCTACATTACAGGAAACCTCATTCTTCTGAATTATATATCTCATCGAAAACTCGTTTTGAAGCCTTCACATTCCTACATTTCCCGTACACATCAACCAATGCATCCAGTAGTCACTAAACGATCCAAACCAACCTTCACAACATAGCCGTGAATCTGGATTGCCATGAACTCATCTTTGAGCAAACCATTAACACACTGATAACAGTAACAACATTTGGCTTACGCACAATTGCCAAATTCATCTATCTGTAGTCTATACTAATCAAGTGCCTCCAAGTAGCACTCATTGACCGAAAGCACCCAATAACAAAAGAGATTTTTCAGTGTGTCGGAAATACGGTCTGGTAATACCAAATGCAATAAAACAATTAGTTGAAAACTTAAAAAAAAAATATAAAAAAATCCAACTAATTGCAAATTCCTCCAATAACTGTATTCCATGAGACAACTCCCTTTCACGGATTCACCAAATGCCCTTTTTGCATCTCTCACATCCGCATAAACTGTACGAAAAACTATATTTTTTGTCTATTTGTATTATGACATGTAGAGTATCACTTAATACCAGACACTTGAAAAAAAAAATCTATTATACTAGTACAAAAACATGTTTGCGCGACGGACACTTGCGCGACGCATAAAATTTCGTCACGCAAAAACATTTTGCGCGACGCTAAACACAAAACGTCGCGCAAAGTGGCTTTGCGCGACGATACTTTGCGCGACGTAGGTGTACGTCGCGCAAAGCTGTTTTGCGCGACGAATGAGTACGTACGTCGCGCAAAATAGCTTTGAGCGACGTACACCTACGTCGCGCAAAGTATCGTCGCGCAAAGCCACTTTGCACGACGTTGGGTACGTCGCGCAAGAGTTTGGCGCCAAACTAAGAATGTTTTACCGCTTTTTTTCCCAAGTTTGCGTGACGCATGAGCACTTACGTCGCGCAAAACAACTTTGCTCGACGTACATGGCGTCGCGCAAAGTCGACGACTTTTTTCTCTAATATAACCACACACAGGGGCCTTTTTCTTCACACTCAACATCTCTATTTCACTCTCTATCTCTCTCAACCTTCACCATCTTCACCTTCAAGTATTGTATTTATTTGATTAGTTAATTAACTATTTATTGATTACATTTATGTTTGGATTTTTTTATTTTTGTGTATTTATGTTTTTCTTTAATTATCTTTGTCAATGCTTATGTTTAGATTTCATTTCTCACCAAATTGGGAGGAGGAAATTAGAATGTTAGAGATTTAGAGAAGAAGCCAGTTTATAGCTTTGTCAAACCACTGTTTTATTATGTGGTTAGTTATCATTTTAGGTGTATTCTCTACCCTTTACGATTTAGAATACGTAGTCTCATCATATAGGTCCTTAAACAATAATTTTAAGGTAGGAGTGGAAGGGGTAAACAAGAAGTTAAAACTGTGGAACATAGAAATTTTGGGTGATGTCTATATGGAATCGTCCCATTTTTTTGGTTGAAGGATTAATAGTTTGTATCTATTATATTTAGTTTCATTAATTATTGTGATTTAATTTATTTGTATGCACATATTTTTGTACATCAAGTACAAAATTGTTTTGTGTTTTACGAAGTTAATACTACTTAACTTCGTACACTTTTTTCAAGAAAAGCTTAGTTTTACGTTTGAGAATTTGTTGGATTTCGTGTATGGATGCGAAAGCATGATTGCGGTCCAATTAATTCTTGAATTGTCCCATTTTTTGGACAGTAGATTGCCCTTTCATTTGCTGTGGTTTGCTGAATGATTCTTATTCTTGCCTTCTCATTGTTCCGATATTTATGTAATTTTACTTTACCGCCCCTTTTTTTCTCTTAATGTTTTGTATCCGTTGAATAGGTATAATTGACCAAGAAGGTCACTGAACAAGTAAGACTGCTAGCAAAGAATGAAAATGAGGAACATACAAAGACAAGCCCAGATGAATAGCAGTGCACCATGTGTTACCCCTGCAGGCTAGGTTGAAGGAGATTATTACTTATGTTTTAAAGGGGTAATAACTGTGTAATGCTAAAGAATACAATTCCTATCTTTCGAGCAAATAAAATAGCAATGCACCATGTGTTATCTAATGATACATCAACTCTTAAGTTGTTGAGTTGTTAACATGATTAGATTTTGTGGTATCCTTATGTAAATTTTTTAAATTGACGATCGAATCTTTTTGTTGTATTCATATAGGGTCAATGAGTGTAGCTCTAAAAAATCATCAAAATCGGAGTTAAAATAACCGTGAAATTGTGATTTTTCGTTTATAACCGTCGAAAAATTTTGTCCCGTTACTTGAGTTCTGACGGTTTGTTTTTTGCGATTTTTGGCGAATATGATATCAAAATATATACAAACAAGTTTGACGGTTTAATCGTTGAAACTAATTACGTACAATGCGTTTCCCATCAAGTTCAATGATATATATATTTAGTAAGTAGATTTTAATTTGGGAAGTGTTATTGGCACTTCAAATATAGAAAGTTTGGAGTGTAGAATGTGATTTTTGGAGTGCTAATAACAATTCTCTTTAATTTATTTATTTTGTACTCATAAGCAAAATGGCAAAAGGAAAAAAAAAACAACTTTGCGCGACATAGGTGTACCTACGTCGCGCAAAGTTGTTTTGCGCGACGCTGGTGTACCTACGTCGCGCAAAGTTGGTTTTTTTTTTTTTTTTTTTTTGCCTTTTGCTTTTCTTTTGGGGTTCTTGCATTGCCTTTTTCTTTTGTGATATCTACTTATGTAAATGTTTTAAATTGACGATCAAATTAGTTCATTGTATTCATATATAGTTAAAGAGTGTAGCTCTAAAAAATCATCAAAATCGGAGTTAAAACTACCGTTAAATCGTGCTTTTTTGTTTATAACCGTCGAAATTTGTTGTCCCGTTACTTGATCTTTGAATGCTTTTTTTTTGCAATTTTTGGTGTACAAGATCTCGAAGCATATACAAATACGTTTGACGGTTGGATCGTTGAAACTAGTTTCGTACAATGCGTTTCCCATCAAAACGATACATTTACTAACACTTAAGAGTTTATTTATACTTTCATCAAGTATAACATAAGACTTTATGGTATCCACTAGTGTAAATATTTTAAATTGAAGATCGAATTAGTTCATTGTATTCTTATAGGGTCAAGGAGTGTAGCTCTAAAAAATCATCAAAATCGGAGTTAAAACTACCGTTAAATCGTGCTTTATCGTTTATAACCGTAGAAAAGTTTTGTCCCGTTACTTGATCTCTGAATGTTTGTTTTTTGCGATTTTTGACGTATGCGATCTCGAAGCATATAAAAATACATTTGACGGTTGGATCGTTGAAACTAGTTTTGTACAATGCGTTTCCCATCAAAACGATACATTTACTAACACTTGGTGTTTATTTATATTTTCATCAAGTATAACATAAGATTTTGTGGTATCCACTATTGTAAATATTTTAAATTAAAGATTTAATTAGTTCATTGTATTCATATAGGGTCAAGGAGTGGAGCTCTAAAAAATCAACAAAATCGGAGTTAAAACTACCGTTAAATCGTGCTTTTTCGTTTATAACCGTCGAAAAGTTTTGTTCCGTTACTTGATCTCTGAATGTTTGTTTTTTGCGATTTTTGACGTACGCGATCTCGAAGCATATAAAAATACATTTGACGGTTGGATCGTTGAAACTAGTTTCGTACAATGCGTTTCCCATCAAAACGATACATTTACTAACACTTAGTGTTTATTTATACTTTCATCAAGTATAACATAAGATTTTGTGGTATCCACTATTGTAAATATTTTTAATTGAAGATTTAATTAGTTCATTGTATTCATATAGGGTCAAGGAGTGGAGCTCTAAAAAATCAACAAAATCGGAGTTAAAACTACCGTTAAATCGTGTTTTTTCGTTTATAACCGTCGAAAAGTTTTGTCCCGTTACTTGATCTCTGAATGTTTGTTTTTTGCAATTTTTGGTGTACACGATCTCGAAGCATATACAAACAAGTTTGACGGTTGGATCGTTGAAATTAGTTTCGTACAATGCGTTTCCCATCAAGTTCAATGGTATATTTATTTATTAAGTAGATTTTAATTTATTTATTTTATACTTATAACACTTAAGAAATTGAATGATATATATGTAAAAAAATTTATTGTGGGTTTTTATTAAAAAAATATATTATTGTGGAGTTTATGTAAAAAAAATTTGAATTTGAAAGGAGTAAAGTCACATTTGCAATAATTTTTATAATAATTTAAAAAAAAAAAAAAAAAAACTTGCGCGACGTCAAATTGTAAACCTACGTTGCGCAAGTTGTGAAAATTTGGGCGGAACAATAGTGAAAAATGGGCGCTTTGTTTTCAATTTTCCAAGTTTAATTGGACCTCTTTCCCGTAGACCTCTCTTCCCTCTCGCTCATCTCTCCCTCTTTCTTTCCCGTAGCCCTCTCTTCCCTCTCGCTCATCTCTCCCTCTTTCTTTCCCGTAGACCTCTCTCTCCTCTTCGCAAGCTTTCCTCTTCGGCCACGCCACTACGGGCAGCCACCCGAATCTCGAAGCCGACGCGAATCAAGTCCCAAAATCAAGGTAAGGGTTTTGATTTTCGAAGGGTTTTGTTATTTAGCGTTCAAATTGCATGTTATTTAGGGTTTCTGATAAAATTGGATGTTGGTTCTGGTTTGCAGAGGGGTTGATGGGTTGCAGGTAGAGAGAGGGATCACACTCTCAGTCGCTACCAGAACCTTTTCGTTTCTACTCCTGCTGCAATTCAATTTCACCTCATCGTTTTTTCTCCGTTCTGAGAGAACGGTTCGCGCGACCATACCGAAAGCATCACAGCGCCTCAGCTCAAGGTCCTTCTTCTTCGTCTTCATTCTTTTGGCCCTAAACTTCTCAAAATCCCCAATTTTTGTTTTGTTATATGTAAACAGTGTTTCTGTAGAAGTTTCAAATTGAGTGCTTAGTTGAAATGGGGTATTTGGATATGAATTTTTTTTTGCTTTATTCTTCTTCTCTTCCCCTATACTTCCCAAAATCCTAATTTTTGCTTTTTTATATGTAATTTTTTTTACGGGATTTCTCATAATTTTAAATTTCAATGTAATTTTTGTGTGAAAATTTTATTGCTTTTTTATGATGTCGTCTTGGTTGATTGACATTTGCTTATTTGAAATGGGTATGTTGGATGTCAAAATTTTATTGATTTTTTCTTCTTCTTCCTCAAATCCCCAAGTGCTTATTTTGTGTGTTCTTTCGATTTCTGAGTTTAATTAATTGGTGCACTTTTCTGAGTTTAATATCATCAATATAGTGCTTCTTAATATATATCGTCAAATATGTAATATTGAAATATGATGCTATGAAATGCTTAAGATATTGATAGTATAGTACATTAATGCAATCTCTTTATCACACCCTGCAATTCATGAAGTGTAAGCTTGAGATATGTATCCTTATAGTTTTTACAAGAAAGTTAACTTTATCCTTTCTAGGAACATTCCTACCCTGGTGACATTTTCGTTGTATTTCTGATGGATTCCAGATTTCTAGTGGATTTAGCGTAGGGTTTTCGTTGGATTGTGGTCTTAGTGTGGTGAAGAAAAATCAGAGGACAGGGAGGGGAAACTTATGCTTCAAGACGAAACTAAAGTTTTAACCTATTCCAGCTTCATTTTGATCTAGGTAGAGATATATGAATAGATTAGTAATCTCGATGCTTTTAGATTTAGTAAAGAACTGTTTGTTAATAAATTATCTTGAATCAATTATTTTTGAAACATTTTTTATTCTGGTTATTACGTACATCTTCAAATTCCAGTTCAAGATACTTTAGGGTTAAAGATAGACTCATTTGAAGACTCAAATTTCTAGTTGAGTTGTTATCGGAGGACATATTCAAATTTCCTGGTGATGAGACCGCTAAGCAGCTTCATGTAAGTATATGTAATTGTTATTATTCTTATATGTATGAATCGTTCAAATATTATTTATATTCTGTTATTAAACATTAAATGTTTTTTTCTTTATTATTACAGGTTGCTATGGTGGAACAACGCTCTGCTGTTCTCCAAGAAGCAACATCGCAGCTTCCCCCGGAGACCCCGATCGAGGATGTCACGGTACCTGAGGATGCAGGTTTTCAAATCCTGACTAATGTAATGGATCAGAACTTCGGTCGTCGTCATGGCAAGGTTGTTCGGTGTATGGGGAAAGCGCGAGTTCGTGAGACGGGTGCCTCTTCTTCTAGATCGAACACAATAGAGGTCAGTGCATTGAAGGAGGAAGTGACAACCCTAAAGGGTCAGCTTGCGGTCCAAGGCGAGAAGATGAAGGCTCGAGACTAGCAGATGAAGCCCCAGGAAGAGCAGATTAGGGCCCAGGGCGAGCAGATTAGGGTCCAGGGCGAGAAGATGAATGCCTATGTTGGGCACGTGAGAGACCTTGTACGAGCCATACAGATGTCCGGTCTCCAAATCTCGCTACCAGAACCTGAACTTGATACACCTTCAACCTTCGAGCCATTTCACCCTGCCGATACCTAGTAGCCTGATGAATCAAACCTAGAAGACTACTTTTAGTTTTTTTTTTTTTTTTGTTCGAACATCTTGTATGTATATTTTCATATATTTTATAATTAAATACTTTTCCTTAGTTAATTAATTATTTATAATTTAATTACAATATTTATTAAAAAATTTAAAAATAATATTTTTGATCAAAACATAAAAAAGGGCTTTGCGCAACGAAGATTCTACCTACGTTGCTTAAAGGCACCTATGCCACTTTGCGCGACGCATGTCCTTACGTTGCGGAAAAAGGTTTAGGTGGCTTTGCGCGACGTAGCTACGTCGTGCAAGGTGGCTTGGCGCGACGAAGAAGAAATATACGTCGCTCAAAGCCTCTTTGCGCAACGTAGGCTGCGTCGCGCAAAGCCACCTTGCGCGACGCATGTTTCATCTTCGTCGCGCAAAGCCACCTTGCGCGACGTAGACTGCGTCGCGCAAAGCCTCCTTGCGCGACGTAGGCTGCGTCGCGCAAGGTGGCTTTGCGCGACGCATGTTTCTTCTTCGTCGCGCAAACCCTTCTGTCACTGCCTTGCCACGACGGTTATTGCGCGACGAAGGTGCGTTGGGCTAAGTTTTGCGCGACGTTTTTTGACTTTGCGCGACGAAGGACCTACGTCGCGCAAAGTGTTTTTTTTACTAGTATTATTTCTTATGCCTTTGCATATTATTTGAGAATTCGAATCACATTCACCAATTTGATACTAAAAATATATACAGAAACAAAATGAAACACCTTACCAGAACACTAAGCAAAGAAAAATAACAACTCAAATAATTTACTTAAAAACGCAAATAGTAATTAAACAGTCGATGGACGATGCTTTATGCGATGATTCCTTTCCTTTTTCATTTATTTGAAAATTGTGAGATGCCTGACATGTGAGTCTGTGACAATATACAAGAAAACAATATAATTTTTTGCTAGTGTTGTATTATTTTCCTCTACTTTTGGAGAAACCAAAGTACAACAAAACTTAAAAAAAAAACATAAAGTGAAAAATATTCTTCAATATATTTTCCAAAGCACTATTGTGGAAAGCTTCTCTTTGAAGGTTTTGCATTTTTTAAAAAGAAAATACCAGCTCTGTAGTCCACCTTACAAGGAGCCGGCACTTATAGATGAATTTCAGCATTCCCGGATCACGATCATATAATTTATCAGCGTTATATATCGAACTCAAGACATGACATGTGACCTTCTGCTCATGTTTAATTTATTGAATTGCTTTGGGTTATTTTCCACTCTCATCCTTTCTTTTTGTATTTTAATTATTTTGCGCAATGTAAAAAGAATAAAGCATTCAGATTTATTAATTTTATGTTTCCTTTTAATACAAACCTTTTTGCGACTCCAATTTTCAATTCAATCGTCCTTTTGTAATATTTTCAAAAAAAAAAAAAACAAATGAGGAATTGGTAAGATATAAGATGATGAATGATGAAAATACACATGAATAAGATGAACACTAAACTGATAATACGCGGTATGAGTCACGATTTTGTACTCTTTTGTCGACGTCTTAATAATTGTAGATTTTATTTTATATTGAAAATTTGTAATTGGTATCATTGTGTTATTTTTTTAGTAACTAGTATTTGCCTACACATTTTGTGTGTATGAACACATTTTTTTAGAAAATGAGAAGGAGAGAGGGAGAGAGAGGGAGAGAGAGAGAGAACGTGAAGGGAGTGAGAGGTTTTTGCTTTCGGTTTATTTTTATTTATTTTTATTTAACATTGGAGGTATTTTAACATCATTTGTAAGTGAGGTTTCAATACAAAACAGTAAAATTTGGACCTGTGAAATTACATTATTACCCATCATTTTTTGTGTGATAGAAGACTAATTTGTCTTTTCATCTTTTTTTGGTTGACAAAGAGGGTTATATTAATTAGTAAAGATTATTCGAAGTAGATATTATGTCCAACGGTTTTGTGTAAGTATTAGAAAATAAAATTTAATTTGAAACATAACATTAGTACGACAATTCCACATGTTACGTCTTGAATTTGATTCCTGATACTGGTGAATTACGCAATGATGGTCAATGGAAGCTACCTCTATGAGTCTTCTCTGTTCCCGAAAAAGCTATGGTGATGCAGTCACCAACTATTTTTTTTTTAAAAGAAAAAAAAACATTAGTACAACAATTGAACCAACATTAGTCCTATGTTCAAGAATGAATTCTCAAGATAATATCAATAGTATTTCAATATTATTGTAACTAACAAAATGTATTAATTGTATTATTCATACATTATCGATAGAAATAAATCTTCTCCATATCCCTTTCTTTTAATCCACCAAGTTTGAGAAGTCGGGCCGTTAAAATTTGATCTAACGGCTACAAACAGGGGTCCACTTTAAAAGTTATAATAACTTTAACCGTTAGATCAAATTTCAATGATCCGAATTCTCGAACTTGATGGATTAAGAGAAACAGATCCGTATAGGATCCATTTCCATTATGGACAACGTCAACAACACAGAAGTGATGTGATACAACATAAAATACATTAATTTGTTTTAAGTTGTACATATGTGCATGGATGTGACTGTGACTGGCGCATAAAAAACGTGGCACCACACAAGCTGTTTGCTATAATCCAAGAAAAACAGACACTAATCTAATCAGATGCATGATCTGATCTGACTGGGAAGTCCACACAACTCCAGGAACCAAAGCCTAAATTCCTAATCAAGCCAAGAGCTCTTCCTTCATCTTGAAGGTTTCTCACCAACTAAATAGACAAAATTACCATAATTAGTTGTTAATCTTAAACCTAGATCCTTCCTCTTGGTTTCTCCCAAATAAGCCATGCAACCCCACAAGAGGAATGTGTGTGGCCATACAAGGATACGTACTTGACATTAGTTCTAATGGTTTAAAACCAACGGTTATATTTTATATACAAGAATTGATTGTTTACAACCATTAAATTTTGTAATAATCACATGTGGCCCCAGTGTTTGGAGGCGAATTCCAAGTATGTACGTTATGGGTTCGATTCCTGTCATTGATGTACTGCTTGATGCTGACTAGCGAGATGCTGAAATACCTCTGTAAGTCTTTATATCCTCTGAAATGGTGGACTGCCGTTACGAAGTCACCAGCTGATTTTTTATTTTTTATTTTTTAAAGAAAGATAAAGCCTAACATTGTAGATGGAACTAGAAAATGAAAGAAATCTAAAACAAGAGGCCTACGAAATTGAAAACCAGTGGCCAAATGGATATGATAGCTAAGTTGCCAAAGTTCTACATTGATCAAAGGAAAGAAAACTTGCTAATATTGCCACTTAGGAAAGGACATGTGTGTCCCAGGTGGCAGAATTCCAAGGGGACGTGGCAAAACACAAGTAGCATCTAATCCATCTTGAAAATTGTGCCACTCATTGGTGGGCCCACTTGGAACTTATCAATAAAACTGATATTTCGTTAGGTTTTTAAACATCAAGAAAAATTTACATAGCACAAATATACATCACACTAGTATATACTTATAAATAAAGTGTGAGATTTTTTGCTTAGTTGTTAAAACTGAACGAGAGAAAGAGAGGAAGAGAATGAAAGAGAACGTGAAAGTAAGGAGAAAGGAAAAGAAAGAAATGTTGTTTTTTATTTTTTTAATTAAAAATGTTAAACTTACATATAAATAAAACTTTTTAAAAGAAAATTTTGTTTTATAAAATTAGGTTACTTTCTTTAATCTTCAACATGAAAACCATTTGTGTCAGAACGGTGGTTTGTTGGCGCTCTGACACAACCTCTCACCTTAGCCATCACAAACTCCTCCTCAACGAATTAAAGCATCGTTTAAAAGCAAAAACTGTAGCTTTTTCTTTCCTGGGAATCAATCTAAAATCTACCTTGTTTTATTAGCCACCTTTCCCTTCCTATAAATATATTCTTATTCCTTCCATATGATGCTGTAGCTACCTCCCTTCCCAGATTCCTTTGCTCTCAAATTTCAAAAGTGCCATATTTTAAAAGAGATCAGATTTCTGGATTTGAAGACTAGAAATTATGTGTCACCCTTCAGGCGTGCCTAATTTGGTGAGGTTCAGAGTGAGAGACTTGGCGGTGCTGCAGCAGCAGCATCGCAGATGGCTTCTTTTGCAGGCGCCTGCGGCGGTTGAGACGACAGCGAACCTGCATGCGGCTGCAGCTGCGGCTAGAAGGGTTGGAGAGGCTGCAGCTGGAGGTGGCAACGGTGGCGGCGATACTCGGTGGTGCTTGTGCTCGCCGACGCAGCATCCGGGGTCGTTCCGGTGTAGGCAACACCATGCTGAGTATGTTTGGGGTGGTGGCCGGAATTTGAGAAAAGATATGTCCAGTAATTAATTAGTCCAAGTTTTTATTATGCATAATAATAATTATAATATATTTTTAGTTTCCCCTTCCAACGGTTCCCTATTTTTTATTGCATTCGATATCCTGCTGGTGATGATAAACAAATTTATATATCGAAAATTCGAACTCAGATGCATAAGGAAAACACACTCGCTCTAGCTGTTATTCTAATTACATTCATTTCTGCTATTATTAGCATTTTATCAAGGTTTTTTTAGTAGATCTCGCGTTTAATCAAGTTGGATAGTGCAGTTAGTTCGAGTTTGAATTCGTAGTAGAAAGTTCCAGGATTTAGTCGCATAGGATTTCTTGATTTGGTGAATTAGAAGGAAGCAATCCCTTTCCGAGTGGAATATCGCTATTAGAATATAAACACTAATCATTGAGTTTTTTTTTTTTTTTTTTTTTTTTTTCTTTAGTACATCGGCATTTTTACATTAAGGGGAGAAAGAGTTCGACAAAGCCACATAATGAACATCTTAATTTGGTATCGAATTCGCCATCCACGAGATTTGAACTTAAGACCTCTCACTTCCAAATAAAAAAGAATAACACCAGTCAGACCGTAGTACTGAGTGACCACTCAGTTAGCATTTACGTGTTGGAAAAGAATAAGTCCCTGTCCCTAAACCAAATTCTATTCCAATGTTGACATTTTACATTATTGCATTTTGGCTCTTAGTGTGCACGAAATTTGTGGCCGTTGGATCATTCGTGGCAATTGACAAGTTTCAATCGCAAAGTTGACTCAGGAACCAAATATATGACAGTATAGTGAAACAAGTAAAAGCCTTCCCCAATGGATTTCATTTACATTCTCTGTACTTTGAATTGTAAAACACAAGCTAAACGAATTCCTTCGAATGGTTTTCTTTTGCTATTCAATCAAGCACTCTGTTCACATTCTACATGCTGATTGCGATCGGTTTGAAGTCGATAATTATGCACAGGGAATGGAAGTTGTTAGAAACCGGAACTGTCATCTTCGCCTTCAGCACCGAAATTCGAGATTAAACAGCAGAACTCCATTGATATCACTGCAAGATTCAAACGAACTTAGTTAGTAGCTCAAGGACATTGAGGCGACAAAGTCTTGCAGGTGAAAATTCAAGGACATTGAGGAAGAAAATTATTGGGAGGTGATGATTCTCATGTACAGACATATCCACCAACACTAGTATGTGAAAACTTCTTTCGTAGAATAGTATAACGACCACAACAAAAAGAACGCCACTGCACTGGCTAATTCTTCCGTTAGCTCTAAGTACTCTACGACCAACTATAGCAGAGGAGGACGGAGCTTTCGAATGCACGCAATCGACGTGTGAATAGGAAATGAAAGAAAAGAATATCCTTACCTCAGAGTAGCAGTCTTCACGAACAACCGTCTGATTGTTTGTATCTACATATACTTCACACGATGCTCTTGCCTGATCAACATTAGAGATCACAATTAGAACAAATCACAAAACATAGCATCTAATCTAGCATGCACGATAAAGTGATTTAGCATCTAATCTGTGAGGTTGAAACACAACATAATCAATGGCCACTTCAGCCATCTCACCCTCATTCAATTGCACCATTTCACACGTATCTTTTCGAAAGTGATAAATCTATTGGCAGATAGCAATAGTTACTCTATCAATTCTGCGCCTATTCTTCGCACCGATCTTTCTCCTACCAAATCTGGGCTTCCTGTGACTCTACATTTTGCATCAGAAATAATTTTGCACCGATCATGAATGCATACACGAAAACTTAGTGACACCCTTCCTTACGAAACTTAGCGGCACCTTCCCTTTTAACTCAGCATATCCAACTCTCTGATAACAAAATTCAGTAGACCCAATTTCTTACAAATTTGAATAATCGAAGACTTTTTCAGTAATCAAAGTTTGCAGCTTTGTGTAAAAATTTCCCAAATTAATGCAGATTTTGATGCAAAATTTAATCTTTTTGCTCTCAATGTTCAAACAATCATCAGCGAGAACCAATTCCAAATAAAAGCTTCTACATTGAATCAAGAACAAATTTACCTTGATCGGAATCTTGAAGAACAAAACCCCCAAAGTTCCATCCACCGCCGTATCGGTATCAAAGGGAATTACCCCTTTCGCCAAATCCTCAAGCAAGTAAAACACGTCGTGGAGGACCTCAAGCCCGTCGACCACGAGCGTGGCGTTCACGTACGACGACGCTCTGGCCCTGACGTGCCCTCCGTCGGAGATCACAAACCCTAGCTCGCTCGCGCGGTACCCCACCGTGACTTTGAGCGAGTCGTAATTCAGGGAGAAGAAGTCGCGGTTTCGAACTCTGATGGTGAGAGAGAAGGATAGGTCGAGAGTGGGTTTGGGGGACGCGTTGACTCGGACGTGGTTGAGTTTGATTCGGGCGAGGTGGAGGGTGGGGTCGGAGGGGTAGAGGAAGAAGACGGCGGCAGAGAGGAGAAGGATGGTGGCGGTGATTGAGATGCAGAGGCGGAGAGAGCGTCCGCAGCAGTAGTGGGGAGTGGGACGGTAATGAGTTAGAACGACGACGTTTTGCTGAGGCTGTGGGTTGTTGAGGCCGGACGGGATCGGCGAGTAGAATGCGTACTCGCTCTTGGAGGAGGCCATGTTCGCCGGAACAGAGCTTTTTGGCTTTATTCCGCCGTGTTCAAATAGTCTGTTTATTTTCGTACGCAAAATATCAGGTTGTTGATTTGGTGGCGGATTACGTGGCAGGATCGAGGCCGTCAAAGTGGACCTTTACCAATCACATATGAAATTATGCAAATATTACGCCAATTTACACGTAGGGCCCCGAGAATTTTCACTTTGTAAATTTACCACCCATTTGGAGAAAAATAACAAATTACCATATTGTGAAAAAGGGATCACTTACGCTTAATTTATATTCGTAATTCCATGAAAGATTGATAATAGAAAATACTTTATAGACATGAAACAGATTTATCAATATTACAGTATCACTTTCTAATAATACATTGGCACGTATGTAGATTTTTTTTTTTTGACATAGCAATGTGCTATTCAATTGAAATACTAAGTGACGGTGAACCTGTTTTATGTAAATCTTATTCTTTTCAAGAGGAGGGGAGATGACATCCAATATCTGGAATTGATCAAAGTTGATGACTTTTTTTTATGAAGGAAGATGTATGATATTTTAATGTATTTGAATTGACGAAATTGACTATAGAAGTTGATGCATCATGCATGTAAGTCACATATCAAAAGAAATAGAATTGTAAAGATAATGTTTGGCTACTAAAAGACAAGGGGTTTCTCTTCAAAATACTTTGTAACCGATTTCGATCATAAACATGAAATTTCGTGAACCAATCACGAAGTATTTTGAGGAGTGAACCCTCCTCGTTCTTTGAATAGTTAAAGTTAATTCCAACGTAAATATATCGTCAAGGAAAAAAAAAAACTAAATGGAATTGTGAAGAATATATTAGACCTGAGTGATTAGTTGTAGCTATTCTTTGTTTAAGAAGTAAATACATAAAATGCGAAAACTTAGGTGCTATTTTGCAATTTTTCCAAAACTTGTTTTCGAGTGGAAGTGGTAAAATAAGGAGCGGCAATAGCGTATATCCCCGACTACCACAAAAACCCTAGAAAAACAGACTTCAGAAAGGCACCAACCAAACGGCGGTCTGCTGATGAATTTGGCGGGTGAGAGTGAGAGAGTCGAGAGAGAGTGCGGGAAATCAATGGATAACAAAGAAGCAGATCAGAAAGTGCCAATTTTTAGAGACATAAGGCGATATTACTGTGAATTCTGCGGCATCTGCCGCTCCAAAAAGGCTCTGATCGCTTCTCACATCCTCGATCACCACAAGGTTTCCATCTCCTTCTATTAAATTCTGTTTTTTATGATCGAATTATGAATTCTTACGAATTGGGTTTTTGAATTCGAGGGATTTACTGTTGTGGGTTGATTTGAGTTTGCAATTTAATCGTAATTTGAAATTTTGGGTTTTATTCGGATTGATTGTGTGAATTTTTATTTTGTTTTTGTTTTTTTCTTATATGTTGTAGGGTGAGATGGATATGGAAAAAGAGGCTGGTGGGGAAGGGGAAGGAGAGAAGGAAAAATCCAATACTTGCGAAGAATGTGGTGCTACTTTCAAGAAACCTGCACATCTGAAGCAACATATGCAAAGCCATTCCCTTGAGGTATTTGTTTGAATTCAAAGTTTTGTAGCTTTCACGTGTTTTCGTATTGGAAAAGTATGTAATTGGGTTATGAGTTTTGCACTGAAACCAGCTGATAAGGATTAGTTTGTGATAGTTTCATATCAGCTGATTGTGTCTATAGCTTTCCTTACTTTTTCGATGAAGTTTACGTCATGTTTGCAACAATTTAAGGTTGAAGTTTTGCAGGAATCAATATCTTTAAGAACTGTCTTTTGGATAGCGTGAAGCATTGGATCCCACACAAAGAACTCCAAAATGCAAGAGGTTTCGGACTTGAATGGACCAGTACCAGGTGGGAGACCTCCTGTGAAGCTCCATCAAGCGAGCCTCAATCACGTACCGTTCAGTTTGAGGTTTGAATGCTTGAACATGTGTAGCTTGTTTGTGAATTTGTTTTAGCTTATTCTTCACTTTTTGTATGAAGTTTTTTTTATGTTTGCATCAATTGAAGTTAAAATTTTTGCAGGAATCGACATTTTAATGAAGTATTCATTGGACAGCGTGAAGCATTGGATCCCACCCAAAGAACTCCAAAATGCAAGAGAGCTTGACTTGAGTGGACCAGTAACAGGTGGGAGACCTCCTGTGAAGCTCCATCAGGCGAGCCTCAATCACGTAATTTGAGATTCGAATTCGTGTCATGTGTATTTGTGTTCATGTGTATTTTGGAATTGTGGTTATGGTTTATGAATTTATGTTAGCTTATTCTGTACAGAGGCCATATGTTTGTTCGGTGGATGATTGCCATTCCAGCTTTAGAAGGAAGGACCACTTAAATCGCCATCTTCTTCAGCACCAAGGGAAACTCTTTAAGTGTTCAATTGAGAACTGTAATCGTGGATTTGTTTGCCAAGGTAACATGAGCAGGCATGTTAAAAAACTTCATAATGATGATGGCACTTATGTAGGAAGAGGTCAGAAACAGCATGTGTGCCAGGAAATTGGTTGTGGAAAGGTGTTCCAATTTGCTTCGAAACTGCAGAAGCATGAGAATTCTCATGGTAGCTTTAATTTCTAAATTCTGAATTCTTTTTTATGTTTTCCGTAGTATGTTTGCAAACTCTAAACGACATCCTTAATTTCTGTAGTTCATCTGGATTCAGTGGAGGCATTCTGCTCCGAACTAGGTTGTATGCAATATTTTACCAACGAGCAATGCCTTAAGGCCCATATCTTGTCCTCCCACCAACATGTTACATGCGAGATATGTGGTTCCAAGAAGCTGAAAAGGAATATCAAAAGGCATCTGCTCACCCATAAAGGGGGAGCGCCTTCAGTTGAGAGAATTAAATGCAGCTGTAATGGTTGTCTTCAAACATTTTCAACTGTAAGTTGCGGACTTTGAATGGTTGCATTAGTTTGGTACAAAAAATTATTGTTTGGCATTTTGTGTTGCCATGGTTAGTTTTTAATTATTTGCTTTTTCGGGTTTTGGCTGTACATTTGCAGAAATCAAATCTCACTCAACATGTCAAGGCTGTACACCTCGAAGATAAACCTTTTGTATGCAGCTTTTCAGGTTGTGGCATGAGATTTGCATACAAGCATGTAAGAGATAACCATGAGAAGACTGGACGCCATGTATATGCATATGTGAGTTTCGTACTTGGATATACTTCAATACCCTCCATATGTTGGATTTTCGGATAAGCATCTTTCCAGGAACATGCTACGTTATGGATTCATATGTGGAACATTATTGATTTGATTTGCAGGGGGATTTTGTAGAGGCTGATGAGCAATTCCAGTCAAGGCCAAGGGGTGGCTGCAAGAGGAAGTGCCCCTCTGTGGAAATGCTCTTACGAAAACGGGTGACTCCACCAGATCAGTTGGGCCTAGAGCCTGACTACCTCTCGTGGTTGCTCTCACAAGACGCGGAGGATGGGAATTGAGTCATGGCGTTCTAGTTAAAATTACCGCACACGTCAGTACTAACTTATGAGAGTGAGTTAGGAAGTAGATAGATATGGATGTTGGATGGTGTAATGAATCTCAACACTATAAATATATATATAGCATTTTTGTATTCAACAAAGTCTTGGTAAGTAATCATGGAGAGAATTGTGCTATGCTTCGCACTTTTAGATTGTTCGCCAGTGCTTTTATATCAGAGTATTACCATTCACCTCACATCTGAGGTTCCCCCTCCAGGGCAGCAATCACATCCTTTACAGATGCACTACGGGGTGCCATCCTTGTTTCGAGCACGATAACTTATTGTTTTTGTCGCCCCTTTTCTCTGTTTCTCGATTGTCCTTCATGCTTCCTCCGGCTGTTGATGTAGGCACGCGGTAAACATGACCTTTCCTTGACGTTCTTGCCGAGCTTGCCCATCGGCCATAAGTTTCCATTTCGACTGCATGTCATCTCCTCTGACAGCAGCTCGGAGAGCAGCATTTGCTGCTGCTCTCGTCCTCATAATTTGTTCGTCATCCTCTTTGTTTGCCTATAATATCAAGCACTAAATTAACAAGATGGCTGCTCATATACCAATACCACTCTCTCCCATTTTGAAGTTTCTATGATGGTTGCTATGTAATGTTTTTTTTTTCTTTTCTTGACAAACAATAAATAATTTAAACTATAGAGAAGAGAATTCAAACTTGGGTGCAAAGCGAGAGAACACTGGTCTAGAGTGAACCTGGCTAAGGCTAGGTCCGCTTTACATATACATACACTTAAAACCTACGTAAAATTTACGTAATATCTCCTATTTTTGTGTTTCCGGATTTGGCATGGATTGGTCTTATTTTTTTTTTTTTAAAGAATGAAAACTCTATGTTTCTTGATTTGGCGTCGATTTGGTCTAGTTTTTCCTTTGTCAACTAGGAACTTATAGCTTTTCCCTTGTCAATTAGAACTTACGCTTATATTAATTTCCTACTACAATCAGGATTCGGTACATATATTAGTCTAAGTGAAGAATTGTTGCGTTCTCATATCAACTTTTGCTTAACATCAATCGAAATTCAGGATCGTTCTTGCTCTGAAAGATACTTGGGGTTCAAGTAATCTTATTACTGGAATGGGTTGTGCGAGTAGCAGAGTAGTGTCCTCAGTCTCACGAGTAGAATCTGAGGTGATTACTGAGAAATCGAACAACAGTCTGATTGTGGACAGTGGAACTGAAGCGGTTCTTGTTGGTGGGGATAAGGCTCAGAGACCTCCGAGTTTGCTTTATAATATTCTACCGAAGCAATGGCGTGGTGAGCAGGTGGCGGCCGGGTGGCCACACTGGCTTGTGGAGGCATGCGGGGAGGCACTCAATGGGTGGATTCCGCGGAGCGCAGACACGTTCGAAAAAATTGAGAAGATCGGTGGCGGAACTTATGGTAATGTGTACAAAGCTAGAGATACGGTCACGGGAAAAATTGTTGCCCTAAAGAAAGTTAGGTTTGATGTTAAGCAGCCCGGGAGCCTTAAATATATGGCTAGGGAAATTGTAATTTTGCGGCAACTGGATCATCCCAATGTGATCAAGCTGGAAGGTCTGATCATGTCGAGGTTGTCGGCATGTAGTTTGTACTTGGTGTTTGAGTACATGGAGCATGATCTAGCCGGACTTGCCGCAATGCCGGAAATTAAATTTACTGAAGCTCAGATAAAATGTTACATGCACCAACTACTATCTGCGCTCGAGCACTGCCACAGGCGCGGCGTGCTTCACCGTGACATTAAAGGAGCAAATATTTTGGTAGACAACAGAGGAGTACTTAAAATTGCTGATTTCGGAATGGCTACATTTTTTGATCGGTGGTCAAAACAGCGTCGTCCCATGACGAATATGGTGGTCACGCTGTGGTATCGACCTCCCGAGCTGCTTCTAGGGGCTACAAATTACGGGGAGGGGGTGGACCTTTGGAGTGCGGGTTGCATCTTAGCGGAGTTATTAGCTAGGAAACCTATCCTGCCTGGCAAGACAGAGTTGAATCAACTACATAAGATATACAAATTATGTGGTACACCTTCAGATGAATACCGGAAATCAGCAAAGTTGCAGTATGTGAATCGATATTATAGATGGCCGGTGCCTTGCGAAAGACGCATAAGAACGGAGTTCAAAGATTTTCCGGCGTCATCGTTGCCTCTTATTGAAACTCTTCTCGCATTCGATCCAGAGGAAAGGCAGACCGCCACGGCTGCATTGAGCAGTGAGTTTTTCATGACAGCGCCTTTTGCTTGTGAGCCTCGTGGCCTCCCACAGTATCCCCCAGCCAAACAAATCGATGCTGAACGCCGGTACCACGAGGCTGCTCAACTTAGACCTAACGGTAGAGTTGAGCTGGGCGATGCTGCTGCAAAGAAAACTTGCACATTTCGACGTACTCCAGCTAGTGCTAGTATGCCGGATCTAGATCAAATGGTGAAAAATTTGATTCCGGATTGACCTAGTTGTAGGAGTAATTTTTCAGTGTAACTGAAAGTAAAAGAGATGGTAAGTAAAAGATGGTGGACTTCCAACCTTAATGGCTACATAACAATCGTAAATGTTCAGTATTACAGATGTTTGCAACGCATCTACATTTTTAGGCAATATTTTTAGTGAGATAACATCCGGAAGGCAAGCTACCGCGCTTGCAGGAATAGTGGTGGTGGACAGTATTTTAGGAGAACCATATGTAACGCTTTTCTTTCTTAGTCACAAAAAATGGTTCAAGGTTAAGTTAGTATTATAATAAATAGATTTAATTAAATATTCAATTCTTTTCAATGCAATGAAAAATTGTTCACGTTACATTTCCGACCTTTCTAACATGAAATGGTGTAAAATTTGGCATCAACCACTAATAATATATAATATATCAAATTCAGAATTTAGTTATGTAATTATAATTATTGTCAAATGATCTTTCACTAACACATTTAAAATATTATTTTCTAAAATTCAAATATGTAAGTCATAAAGATTATTCTATTCTCATCTTGTATTTACTTGGATACGATAACGAAAAGATCGCAAGTTTGAATTTATAGAATGAGTGTTTTCACTACCACTCCTTTTACTCCTACAATAATTAGAAAAATGCATGGATTGGACTAAAATATTTTGGAACCTTGGATAAAGGTTTCGATTAATGAATCCAAGAAAGTTTGACATGAAAGACTAAGGAGAATGCGACGGCACGCAAGCATCCAATACCATGCGATAAGATATCGTTCTACTACTTGTTATTATTGGAGCCATTAACAAAAAAATATCAGGTGTTGCATATGATATGCACTTGATGTATATAAACTGACTAAAATCATAGCCTTACAAAACTCATCTGTTTCAGATATCCATATTATGGTCTAGAGAAAAGAAGAAGAATGAAAGGAGGCAATACATAACAGCCAGTACTCTTCATAATAAAATAAAAAATAAAAAAAAATTGAGAGCTCTGTGAGGTGGCACCACCTGCCCTTGTCAAGATCAGTCTTGCCTATACGTATTTCTCAAGTAACTTTACCAATAATCACTTAGTACTATTTTGATGAAAATGGATATGTTTATACACGCGCGCGCGCGCGTGTATATATATATATATATATATATATATATATATATATATATATATATATATATATATATATATATATATATATATATATATGTTTTTGATGGGTGCCTTGATTGTTCAGAAATTAGAGAAACACTAATTAATAAAGATAAAATTATAACACATACATCCATCATATTATTCATATAAAAAACACGTACACCTGAATTAAGCACACGGAGGCAATATTTCCTTATACCTATTTGTTTATACAACTACTATATAGTAGGACTAATTAATGAAGATGCTAATCGGAAGGATGTATCACCAAACTTTCTTACAGACTATAATTAATTAAGTAGACTGATCAAGTACTGATGTGGGAGAGAAAGAAGCCACTGAGTTATTATTGCTAGGCATGGACTTTGATCGCTTCATCCAAGTCGATGACCGGGACCTGTGAAAACGGCACCGGAAAGAGCCTTGATGTGTCGTTGGTGAGCACAGACATTGGCCTTTTGGTGAAGTAAGTGATGCAGCTTCTGCGTTGCCACCATTTTTTGGAGAAACTGAGACTTTCAGACCATTGCCATGGGAAGCCATGTTTTGATAGAGAATAGTGATACTAACGAAGGAAGAGCTTATGTGGAAACTTATTGCCAGATTGGCTTTATATATAGGAGAAAAATTAGAAGGGAAAAAAAATATTTATCCTCGAAGAGTGTGAGGTCTGAAGTGATCAAATCAAGTAAGGCAATCAAGTTGTCTTGTACGGACCAGGATCCTCTCCTGAGCTAAGGATGAGGATCTCCTCATCAATGAGTGTGGGCCGTTGGATGAAAATCCAACGGCTACAAATAGAGGATCCTTTTAAAATTATAATAATTGTAATCGTTGGATTTTCATCCAACGGTCCACATCCCTTGATGAGGAGGATCCTCATTCTTAGCTCAGGAGAGGATCCTGGTCCGTCTTGTACCCTTTGATTCCTACCTTTATTTGTCTCCTAGTAACCAAATTTAAAATATTTAATTATTAACATCACGTATCACTTAACAAGTTTACCAACATAATTAGTAAATTACTAGAAAGTTAGAAGTAATTCGGATATAAGGTTATGATATATATTAACTAATGGTCTAATACAGAAAATCCAAATGGATAAGTTAATTTGTTTGTTGTTGCTAACCTATATCTGTACTTTTCACGAAATTAGTAAACTCTAAAGTCTTAGTTATTATGCTAATCTGGTCTAAAGGTTGAAAAAGGGTGACTAAAAACAGATGAGGAGTCATCATGTCAACTTCTAAACAAATTAATTATGTATTAGATAAGAGAGTAGGATAATCCACCCACTTAAGAGTTTTAAGCTTTTTCAAACTCTTCATATAATAACCTTTAATCAGTGTAAAAAGCAATTTTTTTTAAAAGAAAAAGTGAAAGGCAAATCATGAATGTTTACTTGCTTGGTGGAACGAGAAATAAAATATTTTGAATCTATATTTTTTTATGTTCTCTAATACATGGTTAGGAGAATTATTTTATTTTTTTCTCCCGAGTTTACTAATACATACAAAATAAAAGAAACACGCGACAAATTAATCAATCATTGAGGAATAATTGATCTCATCTCAATGCTTTTTCTCTCATAGCTAGCTATTTCTAACTTCTCGATTCATGACTTCTGTCATTAGAAAAAAGTTGTCATCGATATCGAAGAAGACTTGAAGATAAAAAAGGGTGATGTTGAGATCACTAAGGTGAGTGGCTATGGCTAGTGGTTACACGAAGATGAGGTTTCGATGTGGAAGTAATTATAAACTATATATGCAATGTGGCTGATTGTACACGTTCGGAGTAGATTTTGATTAGTTTGCTATTTTTACACCAGATCATGCATGGTCCATGTGGTCTCCCTAACCCTAAGTAAAAAAGATCTGGCCACTCCCATTGTTGCTAAAGCCTAAAGGTAATTGTCATCTTCTGGTCATATATTTATATGTGTATATATATGTGTGTGTGTGTGTGTGTGTTATCTTAGCCAAGCATGACATGATCCCATATGGAAGATATGGGTTGTTCATGACTACTTGATATGTATTCCTGTTGTTTTCGAATCAGCTAGCCCACGCTGCATATAGCAACAAATTACAGGACCACAGTATCCTTGTTCAATGTGTAGAAATTGAAATTGGCAATTTGTTTGTTGCAAGCTTGTTTTATTTTCTATCATGTATGACTTTTCTGCATCTTTTAGTTGAGAGAAAGAAAAGAGCAAAAACAAGTTCTCAATGCTTGCTAAATCAAAAAAGAAGTTTCAGAGAATCTCCAATAATCCAAACGAAATTGGAACTAATATCTTATTCGGATACTTTTTTTAGATTTGCATTGGAATGCTTGCATCCGATCTCATCCAACCGAAAATATCCTATATGTAATCATTAAAATATTCATTGCAATCAAGTTATCAAACATTGGGAGTTAAAATAAAAATGTGGGATAGTCTATATTAAAGCAAGAATGCTTGTTAGTGATAATTTGCTTATGTAAGAAGATGATCTTAATATAAAACCATTTTTCAAATATGTAATATTTAATTTGGCGTACATCTTTGAAATCAAACTCAAACATATTAGGCTATGAGCTGTCTCATACTACTACAATTTCAACTAGATTCACACGGCTATATATATTCGTATTATTTTGTATGAAATACATCAGTACAAACCTTTATTTAGTTTTTATTTTATTAATATTTGAAATTTGAGGTGGTGCCTAAGGGTGGAAGTGCTTTTAAAATGACTGAAAATGTTTAAAAAAAATATTTTTGAGTTTTAAAAGCACTTGAAATGTTTCTTCCTGTAAAAAAATATTATGTGCTTCTTGTAGGAAGTACTTAAAGTATTTTTCAGGTAGTGCTTGAAGTGCTTTTTCAATATTTACTTACATTTTTACTAAAAACGAGTACCACCAAAAATGTTTTCAACTATTTCAAAATCATTTAAACAAGCCTTATCACCTTTCCCGGTCCAATCCCCTCAAGTTTCATTTCGTTAGATGATAGAGGCAACCTTTTTAAGTTATCAAGATAGCGTATGAAATTCAACAATACAAGTCGGCTGGCTTGTTACTCATATAAACTTAATTTTAGAGGCAATTAGTATACTGTATTTTGGTTTGATTATAAACTTAATTTAAGAGGCAATTAGTATACTGTATTTTGGTTTGATTATAAAAATGTATCTACCTAATTGAAAAATATCCCTTTATATCTATGTCTCTTTTAAAAATGCAATTTTTTTAGATGACTTGTTATTCAAGTGGTTTAGAGAAAATTACTTCTAAACTTGAGTTTTTCCTTGATATTGGTTGCATATAGATATAAAAGAACTGAATATTTGATTTTGAGTTTGATAAGGCGAGAATTTAATGATCTAAAGGTCTGTTTGATAATCATTTTGTTTTTAGTTTTCATTGCAAATATTGCCTACACATATCACAAACACAAAAAAGTACGAATTAAAAATAGAGTAAATTGTACAAATGGTCCCTCAACTTTAATCAAATTGGAGCAATGGTCCCTCAACTAAAAATCCATTACCTTTGGTCCCTCAACTTATCAAAACGTGCAGCTATGGTCCCTCAACTAAAAATCCATTACCATTGGTCCCTGAACTTTAATTCAAGTGGAGAAATGGTCCTTTAACTTTAACCAAATTGTAGCAATGATCCTTCCAATATAACTCGTTTTGACAAATTTTTTGACATAGTTGACGAAAATAACCATAATTATACACTTTGATGAGTTAAGGGACCCTAATTATATAAATGGTCATTCCAACATAGCTTATTTTGACAAAATTTTGACAAAATTGATAAAAAGGACTATAGCTACACATTTTGATAAGTTGAGGGACCAATGGTAATGGATTTTTAGTTGAGGGACCATTGCTCCAATTTGATTAAAGTTGAGGGACCATTTGTACAATAATGAAATGGTTATTAGCAGACTAAGCCTTAAATACAGCCCGAAATTCGATTATCGATGTATGAATGTCATGTCGTACGGGTTAAGAAAACTTGGAAAAGTGCAAAAACGTTGATGATTCCCGAGTTTCCTTCTTCCTCTGGCTGGATCCAGCATGCACTGAAAGTAACAAGCTAAATAAAAATGGAAAAGAAAAAAAAGAAGTGAAGTGAAGAAAATGGAAGAAACATACCAAAAAACAAAATGCAGCTAGAAAACAACTACCAGTCAACGAACAAACTACCAGTCAGTTGGAAATGATATTTCCACTACAAATCTTCCTCCTTCCAGGACTTTTACCTAGTGATCAAAGGCCAATCTAGTGCCTTAAACATTCCCTGGAACTGGAAATAGTAAAGCGGGTGCTGGTAGTTAGCAATTCTCGTGTATCTGATATTCTGATTTTCTTCTCTCTCTCGGGCCTCATAAGTGCCTTTGCTAAGTTCTCACTTTCACACCAAGAAATCTTTATCTCTTTTGTTCCTGAGTTTCTCTGAATTTTTCAGAAAAAAGCTGGAAGTACTTTTAATCGAGATACATGGCGAGATCTGGCAGTAAGAATATACAAGCCAAGCTGGTGGGTATGTCTTCCTTTTTATATATTTTTCCTTTTTTTCTTTTATTCATTTAATTAATTGTGCATGATCTAATTAGCTATTGCTAATTACTATTATCTTTGTAGTAATTTTGTAAGATTAATTGAGTTTGATATGATTATACTTTTTAGGCTTAGTTGATTCTGATTAACTTGATGAGCACCATCCACGATGATAAATGATTTTAGAGTTTGATTGTAGCGATGGTTCCTGAATTATAATCCGATCTGCATTTTCGTCCTTGAAATATTACATTCATAGTTCTCAAAATAGAACTCTCGCGGAATGTAATTAACGGGAGTTTGTCTCCTCTATATAGAAATCGAGCTTCTATATAGAAATAATCACAAGAGCCATACTTTATAGGAATCAAACTCGTTAGACGCATATGTTGCATTCAAGTATTAGATTGTTGAGATTGTTACAATTTTTAAGTAAATATAATTTCACATTGAAAATCAGCAAAGAGGAGAGTGCATTTTGGTAAATCGATTAACTTGGTTCTTATGATTATTTCCAGGTACTTCTTGGGGACATGGGAACTGGGAAAACAAGTTTGGTACTGAGATTTGTGACTGGAAAATTTTTGGAGTACCAGGTTTCACTTTGGATCAAATATTTAATTTGTTTGTACATAAGTGTAGAATACTAGAATATTTGTTCATGGATTTTAATTAATATAAGTACTGTAAAAATTGCAGGAATCAACAATTGGAGCAGCTTTCTTCACTCAGGTTCTGTCACTAAATGAAGCTACTATCAAATTCGATATATGGGACACCGCCGGCCAGGAAAGGTACCACAGCCTGGCTCCTATGTACTACCGCGGCGCTGCTGCGGCTGTCGTGGTGTATGATATCACAAGCATGGTATGGGAACTATCCGGAATTGTTCCTATTCATGCATTTGTTGCCATGTATTTACATAATGCCTTGAACAATGACTGCTAATGAGATTAATGTGCTTGCTGATTAGCAACAGAAAGATTTGTATTAGGCATTTATAACCTCTAGAACGTCGGATAATACTTTTGCTTCTCGTTCGTTGCCTAGGATTGGGTTGGATTGTCATGTGTCGAATGACTTAATAACACTTCGGCAATGTCCTCTCTGATGTTCAATATGTGTTGTTTTTTTGCTGCAGGAGTCATTCGTCCGAGCAAAAAAATGGGTTCAAGAATTGCAACGACAAGGTAAATGCATGACAGCTTTTGTACTTCCAATAAGTTCTCCGATGGATATGATTGAAGTTTGATATTGATCAAAGTTCAAGCTTTAACTTAAATTTGTTGCAAATGTTGTTTTGATATCAGCAAATCCAACATTAATAATGTTCTTGGCTGGTAACAAGGCTGACTTGGAAGAGAAGAGAAAAGTAGGGTCTGAGGTATTCACTCTTCACCAGGACACATTTCATATAATGTTCTTTATCGATTCTTCAATTTTTTCTCATGAAATTTATATTTTGAATTTATTTTTGGCTGCAGGAAGCTGAGCAATATGCTAAGGAAAATGGCTTGGTTTTTCTTGAAACGTCTGCAAAAACTGCACAGAATGTCAGTGAGCTCTTTTATGAAATAGGTACAAACTTATCACCCTTTTAAAATGTTTTCCTTTTCTCATACAAGCGATATTCTACTTTAAAGTTTAAACTAATCTAAATTATGGGATGAGGATTCAAACTCAGGCGCACAGAGGGAGCATATCCGCTCTAATTAACTAATGTGGCTACGCCCACGTCTCCCACCCTATCAGGTTGTTAGCAAATATTTTTGAAATGTGCTTATGAAAAGTCTTTTTGCAGCAAAAAAAGTGGCCAAAGCTAGCCCTTCTCGTCAAACTGGGATAAAATTACACATCAGATCACAGCCACCCAGCAGAAGAATGTTTTGTTGCACTTGAATCTTGATGATCTCTCGGTATGCATTTTTCGTTCGCTGTGTCTTGCCTCGATTTCAATGTGGTCACTATGTTTTATTTTCTCGTTAAATTCGACAATTTGAAAGCTGGTAAACTTCTTTTAACAGGATTACGAACAAATTCAAGGACATGGTTCAACAAGATGGAGAAACTAACAAAAACTGTGGCTCCACCAGAGATGAAGGTCCATCTGCAAGCTCTGCCAACCGGTTACAAATATGAATTTCCTTAGTATATGTTGTACAAATTATAAGAATTATTTCATTTTGTTAATTGATGTTAGAGAGTGATTGTGGAACATAATAATAATGAGAAGCAATATGTCACGTGTTAAAACGTGTGATGACGGTCAATAAAACAATCAACTCTTTTTTAGTGTAGCTTGTATGATCAATAAAATTTCGCGCTCAAAAGTTGAAAATTAACCTATCTGTATATCCCCGTCTGATGAGATATACTCATGTGCCCCGAGTAAAGGGGCAGTTGTTCCTACAACTCTCATCAACACATTATGAGAAGTGTAAGAACCATTGTCCAAAAACTTGATTGTAGATATGTTTCTCTCGTGTGCGGTGGAAAGAGGGGTATGCTACAAGGGGGACAGCGAAGCTCGTCTTGTTGTTAGCTTGTTCATTAGTGCACAGTGGAAACATATGGTTGATTGTAATCGTTTTATAATTTCGTTTTATACATGTCTCTTGTTAAATGATTAGTTACGTGATAAGAGAAATAAAGATGAATATATAGTGATATTAAAAGGTTTACACTCAAGATTTGTCCACGAACGTGATATCCGACAAAGCAATCTGATTTACTGCAATTACTAGATGATTATGACCAATTTGTTTGTGCTTCTGTCGGTCAATGCTTTTAAACCTTTTCCCCTTAAATTATAGGACCTTAGTCCTTGGCTATGCCCTTTTCCCCTTAAATAGGACCTTGGTCCTTGGCCATGGTGGTCCTGTCCCACGGTACACTTGGAAGTTAGTTTTCTTTAAGTACATGTTGACAGAGTTGACCAAATTGGCATCCAAAGCCTAAAACCCATCAATATTTACGAGAAAGTTGAGGTTGTGTTTGAGTTTTACATGAAGCAACCTACTCTGATATTATAAAAAAAGTAGAGTTTGTTTATACCATATTTAGGGCCTCGTATTTAGATCTCGTACAAATACTCAGGGGACTTAAATGTAATTATGGGATAAAGGAAGGGGCAGATATGTAATAAGTGAGGAGTCCTTATTCTATAAAAGGACCCCTCACCCTCACAATTAGAGGGGCCTCACTCTCACTCTCGGAGGCCAATTCCTAGGCCTGAGATCCCCTCTCTCATCCTCAGAAGCTCTCAGAAGCTTTCACCCTCTCCCTCTCTATTCCCTCAAATAAATACATAATCAGTGTGGACGTAGCCCAAACCTTGGGGTGAACCACGATACATCTTGTGTTATTTACATTTCATTGCAGATCCACGGTCGGATTTACGTTTGTTTACCAAGACCATCCGGTTTTTGCATCAACATTTGGCGCCGTCTGTGGGAATCGATACAAAAAGTTATGTCGGTTCTCTTTCATTTTTTCACCTCCACTGTGAATCTGCAAAATCTACAAAAACCCAGAAACAGAAAATATCCAAATCTCAAACACTCCTCACAAGCCCACAGATCTTCGAGGGTTTTTGCTTTTGCGAAACAATAATCAAATAACTGGGGTCAACAATGGATCTCTCCACCGTGAGCTCGGCCGCACGCAACAAACAACACACACATATATACATGTGAGACAACGACTCTCTGGACTTGATTTCTTAGCAAAGAGGAAGGCTAGGAGGAAAGCAAGGGGCATCAGAACCCCATCGAGCAGAAACAAAAAACATAAAAACAAGAACAAATCCGAGCGGCGAGGTCAAGCGGTGGATGCTGCACAGGATCCCGATTTGCTTCACGGCAGTCACCCAGCTCGACCTCTCACACTTATCCCCATGGGGATACGCTCTGCTCTCCACCTCCGCCGCCAACACTGCCCATCTTCTCCTTGCCCAAAGCCTCCGTGACGCCTTCCCATGGCCGCCGATATCAGAATTGCTCCTTAACAGCTACAATCAGTCTCTCTGCCGATGGAGTCCCTCCTTTCTCGACTGCAGAGAAGCTGGATTTGGCCACTTCGTCAAGCACCACGGCCTCGGCAACGACTTCATCCTGGTTGATAACAGATCCCGCCAACTTCATCCGGAGCAGGCGGCGAAGCTGGGTGATCGGAACTTTGGGCTGGAGAAGTCGGGTCTGTTCCGATGGTTGATGCAATTCGCTGGGTTTAGAGAAAGATTCAACGCACCTGGCCCATCCCATGAAATGCGCCTCAGTCCTTCTACATTCCTCAACTTTTCCAAGAATTTTTGTGCAGATTTTAACTTTATCAGGAGCAGAAGCGCATCCTGCACTCCTTGCCATTCTTTCTCCGCTGCCATGTCTACCGTTCCCACCCAAAACGATGTCGTTCCGGGTCAATCGGAGTCTACCCAGAAGACCCAGCAGTCTTTACAGATGTGACAATATCATGGGATGGTGATATCGCCGGAAGAGACACCTGGCGAAGATCCAACGGTCTCCGGAAGATGTTTGGGATAGCGTTGAATCGGCCTCTGAATGTGCATCTGACTGCGCCGTTGGAGAGGGTGGAGAATGTGGAGAATGTGGCGGTCCGGGTTTCAGAGTGAACCCGTCGAAATGTTTGGCGGTTAAGTCCGGTGGGCTCGAGGAGAGGCGAGCGACGATCCAATCTTGGGGTAGACTCAAGTATTCTCGGTGGTGGGATAGCCACACAAGCCCAAAGAATTCGAGATGGCTTCAGGAAAATCTTACAAAAAAGCAGTGGAAGACCTCTTGAAGATAAGGATTTTTTATTATTATTATTAATGATATGATGACTGTCTACCATCTGCCAGCCAAAAGAAAGAAAAACAAGGATGGGGAAAGCAAAAGCAAAAGAAAAACAACCAGGCCGAAAGCAACTAGGCCATCCCTTCAGCATTAAAGGAGCCACGTGCTCCACCGAGGCCACGAGTGAGCTGCGGGAGACAAAAGCAAAAGCAGAAAGCAGAAAGAAAAGCAGAAAAAAAAAAAAAAAAAAAACAAAAGCAGAAAACAAAAGCAATCAAATGAGCTGCAGGAAACAAAAGCAAAAGCAAGGAATAAACACCCCACCAGAATGATGTAATTTATTTTATCTTTCGGAGACATTTGTATAAACCCCATCAGAGGGTAATATGTATAAATCCCATCAGAGGGTAAAAAAAAAAAAAAAAAAAAAAAAAGGCAAAGCCCAAAATAAATGGGCTGGCATGTTGTGGAGGACGAAGGCCCATAAGCCCAAAATAGCACCAACCAGGTGACCAAAAGTATGCCCAGTACTCCAAAAAATTATTCGGCACTTGCCTCTATTATCACCAACCAAGTGATCAAAAATACACCCAGTACTTCAAAATTATACATGAGCACTACTCATGTCATTCGTACATAGACATTCATGAGCATCACTCATATCAATCATACATAAACATTCATGAGCATCACTCATGTTAACATTCATGAGCATCACTCATGTTAACATCCATGAGCATCACTCATGTCAATCAAACATTCATGAGCATCATTCATGTCAATTAAACATTCATGAGCATCACTCATGTCAAACAGCTTCAAAAGATTCATTTACAGAGCTCTAGCTTCAAAGTTTCACTTGCAAAGCTTCACCTACAAAGCTTCAGTGCAGGGTATACAAATACCGCCTCCGAACAACCGCCACTTCGGCCCATACATGGATTCAATTTGAAGTCTCCAGCCAACAGACTCTATTGACCGAAGACTTGGGGGACTACATTATGTACCATATATTGGGCCTCAACTGGGCCTCATGAAAAATACTTGGGGGACTCTAGCCCATTATTTATGTATTAAGGAGCGAACCCTTATTCTATAAAAGGGACTCCCTCACTTTCATTGAAAGATCACCCATGATTTATGTATTGAGGAGCGAGCCCTTATTCTATAAAAGGGACTCCCTCACCACCATTAGAGAGCATCGCCGTCTACTGAGCAACTGTCTCACTGCGAGCATCAACTCTAACCCATCACTTATGTATTGAGGAGAGAGCCCTTATTCTATAAAAGGGACTCCCTCACCTTCAAACGCCACAAGCCGAGCCAACCAAGGCAACACAAGCTACAAGCAGAACGGCCTCGCAACATGTGCTACTTCTAGTTGAGCATCATTTCAGATTGGGCACCGCCTCATATCAAGCATCAGTTCTAGACGACATCTAGTTACTTCGGCCCACACATGGACTGAATTTCAAGTCTCCAGCCAAAAGACTCTCTTGACTGAAGACTTGGGGGACTACTGTTTATACCATATTTAGGGCCTCGTATTTAGATCTCGTACAAATACTCAGGGGACTTAAATGTAATTATGGGATAAAGGAAGGGGCAGATATGTAATAAGTGAGGAGTCCTTATTCTATAAAAGGACCCCTCACCCTCACAATTAGAGGGGCCTCACTCTCACTCTCGGAGGCCAATTCCTAGGCCTGAGATCCCCTCTCTCATCCTCAGAAGCTCTCAGAAGCTTTCACCCTCTCCCTCTCTATTCCCTCAAATAAATACATAATCAGTGTGGACGTAGCCCAAACCTTGGGGTGAACCACGATACATCTTGTGTTATTTACATTTCATTGCAGATCCACGGTCGGATTTACGTTGTTCCAAGACCATCCGGTTTTGTGCATCAACAGAGTTCTACCATAAATCTCAATTGGTAATATAAGGAGTAATTCAACTTTTTATAAACCCTTACAAAGTTTGTCCTTTCATCGATGTGGGGACTCTTTTATCTTTACATCCTCACACGTTCCTTCACATGTGGTAAATTTTTAAGCCAAACAAGTGGACAACCAAATTGAGTGACATGGAGCACATATGGTTGTTAACTTCATATGTGAGCCAACCATCTCTGATATCATGAAAAAAGTTGAAGTATTTTCAAAAAATCAATTAGTAATATAGAGAATAACTCAATCATTATAAGTAGGGCTGAAATTTTTTTCCGAAAATCTCAAACCAAATAAAAAAATCCCGATCATATACTGAAAAATTCCCAAATCGATAATACCGAATTTTTTGGGATCCATACCAAACTGATCATGAACTTTTCAGTATGGGAATCAGGATTACATATTCAATGATTCAGGAATCCTGAACCGAACCAAAAAAATATATTTATTTTGGTCGCATGCATGTTTAATGTTGAATTTAAGTAGTTTGATAGTAAACTATATTAGAAATAGGAGTATGAAAGTAAGTAGTTTGAAACTTTGGAACATTAATTTGACTTGGTATGAATGAAATAGTATGAAATTTTAAATTGGTA